GTTCAGCAGTTTTCTTCCCATTAAAGCTTATTAACCATATTATTTAAACTTACTAATATTAAGATATTAGTAATACAGTCAGATGTTTCTCTTAGAAAATAATTTTTTAAAACTCATGTTAAAAAGTATTGGTTATGTTATTATAAAGGACTTTTTTGACAGAGTGTTTCTGCTTATGTTCAATTTAACAAAATATAATTTATATACATTTCAGAGTTGCATGGAGTTATATATGCCTGTAACAGATTTCTTTATCTTTTTTTATTAGACAAGTAATAAAGTTGTTAAATATGGGTAAACCAAAAGAAGAAACTTGAAATAATCAGTAATCCTTTACCCGTAAACAATTACTTTTGGCACGTCCTGTGTGTGTGATTGTGCAGGTACGTGTGTGTGTGTAACCGTGCTGTGTACACTGCTTTTTTCTATATTAATATTATGAGTATCTTGTAATATATTGTCAAGTGCATACATAATTGCATTTATGAATATTTTTACTTAAGATGATATATAATAATGTTCTAATTGGTTATTCACTTGATACCCATTTTTAACCACATTATTTTATTTTTTTAAAATTTTAAAATTTTTAAAAAAATTATTAATTTAATTTATTTATTTTGGGCTGTGTTGGGTCTTTGTTGCTGCACACAGGCTTTCTCTAGGTGCAGAGATCTGGGGCTACTCTTCATTGCAGTGCGTGGGCTTCTCATTGTGGTGGCTTCTCTTGTGGAGCACGGGCTGTAGGCACACTGGCTCAGTAGTTGTGGCCCACGGGCTCTAGAGTGCAGGCTCAGTAGTTGTGGCACATGGGCTCAGTAGTTGCGGCGCACGGGCTTGGTTGCTCCGCAGCATGTGGGATCTTCCCGGACCAGGGCTCGAACCCATGTCCCCTGCATTGGCAGGCAGATTCTTAACCACTGCGCCACCAGGGAAGCCCTAATCACATTATTTTAAACTCAAAAGGATTATTATTTGTAATAACCTGGACCCTCACTAAGATGCTTTCCTTTGAGTTTCTGTTTTATAACTTTTGAAATAACTAGTTACTCCTCAAAAGGATAGAAGCATGTCCTACCTTATGGCAAATTCGACTTTATAGTAACTAAAATGAATAGAAACTTCCAATATATTTCTTGATTTTGACAAATGAAGGGGTTTGACTTATCAGTCTTTTGGGTTCCAACTCTAAAATTTGCTTATTTATATAACTTCCAGTGCATAATAACAAATTATGAGGATTAAAGGTTTGGTCCTAAAGACCTAGCTGGTATTTTTGTGATTGTATTATAGTTGAAAAACATTTTTACGTTTATAATTTGCCTAAGTGACACAATCCCTGATAAAAATTCAAAAACCACGAAAAGTTAACAGTCTTCCTCCCATCCTAGTCTCTCTGTCCCCCCCCCCCAGAAGTCACCAGTGCTTCATTCTAGAGAGTCATACGCATGTGTCATACACAGGTGTTTGCGTAAATATATTGTTTTTTCCTTTTTAAAGTATAAACTTGTAATATACTATGCATACAGAGTTCTGAAACTTGCTTTTTTTCACTTAATCTATGTGGGGAATTTTCATTAAGTCTAAGAGCACATTCTCTACCCCCCCACACCCCTGGAAGCAGGATGAATCTTCAATTCATGGCATCTTAGATGTTATCAAATACATAAAGAGTCTCCTGATTCTTTTTAATGACTGAGTTGTCATTCCTTGTGTGGATGTACATTTCCCTGTTGATGGACATTTAAATTGTTTCCTATCTTTCGCTTTTAAAAAACAACAATGAATGACCTAGTAGCATATCGTTGTCCACATGTGTGAATTTGTCTGTGGGATAAATTCCTAGAAGGGCGTTGATTGGATCAAAGGATTTGTGTGTTTATATTTTTGATAGATGATAATACATTGCCCTCCATAGCACTTGTCCTTCCAGTGATGTGTGCAAATGCTTATTTGCCCAACACGTCACCAGCACAATGTTATCAAACTTTTGGGCCATGCCAATCTCATGGATAAAAGGGGTATCTTGATGTTGTCTTAATTTACCTTTTTCTTATCATCAGTGACATTGGGCATCAATTAATGTGTTTAAGAGTCATTTGTAGTTCCTTTCCTGTGAACTTTCTATTAACAGTCTTTGCCCATTTATCTAATGGATTATAGGCTGTTTCCTTATTGATTTGTAAGAGTACTTTATATATTAAGGAGACATATACATTTGTCTCAGATGTGAGTTACAATTATTTTTCCCAGTCTGCCATCTTTGCCCTTGGTGGTTTTTGCCTTGAAGAATTTGTGTGCATGCATGTGTGTGGAGGGGAATCGATCAATCGTTTCCTCTAATGCTAATGGGTTTAATGTTTTTCTTAGAAAGACTTTCTCCACTCTGAAGTGATTTAAAAATTTTTCTTGTAATTTTTTTCTAGTTCTTTCATAAATTTTTAACTCAAATATTTGATCTATCCAGAATTTATTTTGGTACAATGTGTTAAGTATAATCTTACTTTGTTCCCGCCTGCCCCCAATGGGCAACCTAGGTGTCCCAGTGGCATTAATTGAGTCTCCATCCACACTTATTTTGCATCTGTTTGTGTTTTTTTCTGGATGTTTTTATTATTTAAAAATCATTTAAAAATTTATATGAGGGCTTCCCTGGTGGCGCAGTGGTTGAGAGTCCGCCTGCCGATGCGGGGGACAGGGGTTCGTGCCCCGGTCCGGGAATATCCCACATGCCGCGGAGCGGCTGGGCCAGTGAGCCATGGCCGCTAAGCCTGCGCGTCCGGAGCCTGTGCTCTGCGGCGGGAGGGGGCCCAACAGTGAGGCCCGCGTACCGCAAAAAAAAAAAAAAAAAAATTTATATGAGTGTTATACACAAATTCAGTCTGATGGTAAAAATTCACTCAATAGTGAGGTGTATAGTTTTGAAAAAGCAAAGTATATACTTTGCTTCTTTTTCACCCATTCCCTCACACTTTTTCTGAGATAACCATTGTTAACAGATCATTGAGTATTCCATTTAGACCTTTTTCTACTACTTATATGTGTATATGTGTATATATACACACATCTCTTTATCTATTTATAGATCTATCTCACGTATAGTTTGAGGGATATGGAGTTTATATCTATCTGATTACATTTTATGCAATATGCTGTCAATTGCTTTCTTCCCTACTAACCTTATGTCTTCGAGTTCCATGATAGTTCATGTAGCTCTACCTCACTGTTCTTTTTAACCCCTGCATGGATTTCATAGTATGAATGTATCACACTTGATTTAACCACTTCCCTATTGTTACATAGCTAGGTTGTTTGCAATTTTTTCCTAATTTTTATTTATTTATTTATTTATGGCTGTGTTGGGTCTTTGTTTCTGTGCGAGGGCTTTCTCTAGTTGCGGCAAGCGGGGGCCATTCTTCATCGCGGTGCGCAGGCCTCTCACTATCGCGGCCTCTCTTGCTGCGGAGCACAGGCTCCAGACGCGCAGGCTCAGTAGTTGTGGCTCACGGGCTTCGTTGCTCCACAACATGTGGGATCTTCCCAGACCAGGGCTTGAACCCGTGTCCCCTTGCATTGGCAGACAGATTCTCAACCACTGCGCCACCAGAGTGGCCCAATTTTTTCCTACTTTTAGCAAGGCTTATGAAGTGTGTAGCATTGCTTCTCTTTAACTTGTGATAAATCTAATTCTAAAATGTTTATTTATGTGATTGACTTACTATCGTGCAATTCATGGGGAAGAAAATCTGGACCACATTGAGTGTTATGTTATTAATATTTTGTGATGATCTTGTTTCTCTAGATAAAATTTGATGCTGGGACCCTCCTTCTTAGTACGCACCGTCTAATTTGGAGAGATCAGAAAAATCATGTAAGATCGAGTTTTTTGCTTCTGTTCTAGGTTTTATGTCACTGATTTTTTTTTTTCTTTCTGGCAAAACTATAAATACATGTGATAAATTTTTGTTTGCAGATGTCAGAATAGTGTGTTCCATATGGTCTCTCTGAATGGGGCACAGATAGAGGAGTTAGGGTCTGGTCCCTCATTCAACCCTAGCACAGTCTGCAGCTACTGTACAGAGAATCCTGGCGGCTCCTGGTTTTTAAGCACTAATCAGATTCTCCCTCACACTCAAGTGTCCCCATCAGTCAGGGGTCCTGAAAACAACCCGTTTGGAGGTCTGCTGAGAAGTGCAGGCTTCTACCTAGATGCTGAGATGAGCTGCCTCTCAGTCACTCAGCAAAAGGAGAACCCCCCCCCCGTTTTTGCATTTCTAGGAAGAGAGAACTCAGTGATATGTATAGACCTGATATCTTTATTCCAAAGAGCTTTACCTTGAATGTGTGTGTGTGTTTGTGTGTATTTGTGTGTAAATTTCTGTGTTGCCAGTAAATGAAGCAATCTTTTCTATGTTATTTTTTAAATTGCTGGCTGCCTCCCCCATGAAATTTTAATTCCGCAGGTAAACTATACACTGTACTGAGGCTCTTTGCATGTCACTAACTGCTGCAAATTCTGACTCTTTTTGCCCCCCAAGAACCAATTTTTCCCCCTCAGTGGTGATACTGGCCTGGTTGATGATGAATGCCTTAGAACTGGTAATGTTGCCTAATTCTTTTTAAAGAAATATAGATTCAAGAAAGAAATCTTTTCTGGAGGGGTAGGCGTCCTTAAACCATATGTTTATAAATTAAGTTAACCTTAGTATAATTTTTTTGATTATCATGTAAAGGAGCTAATATCAAAACCCTTAGACCTATTATTAATAATAATTAATAATAAAGGGAAGCCACCTTAGTATTTTCTGTTAAAAATTAATTGTGGGTGGGTGAGTGAAATATAGAAAATTATAAAGAGGAAAAATCAGCTCTATAACACACTCTTTAAAGTCGTTTTGATTTACCTGCTCTATTTTCTGTTTTCCATATAAGAATATATTATATGTAAACAGTTTTCATATAAATACTACTGTTTAAAAGATATAGCTCCTGTAAAAACAAAGGTAGTGACAGCTGCTTTTAAACCTCTTATGTTCTTCCATGCAGCAAAATGCTACCACAGTATTGTCTTCATTCAGTTTTTCCTTAAGTTTATTTAAGGAATAAAATAACATTATTATTTTCTATTGTTATAATTACTAAGGACCTTAAAGGCATGTGGCACCCCATTAAATCTATAAAACAAGGATTTCTGACAAGTCTTACGGATCGTGTTTTCTTTTGATTCCCTCCCAGGAATGCTGCATGGCCATTCCTCTTTCCCAAATCGTGTTCATTGAAGAACAGGCAGCTGGAATTGGGAAAAGGTAAGGTCTGTATATTACAGTTTTTATGCACAAAATCGTTTCCAGTCAAGCTGTCCTTGTTAACTTGGTTGAGTCATTGCTCAGTCAGTCATGGCCGTGACTGTGTGTGTGCAAGTGAATCAGATGATTGTGTTTGTTGGTCAGAGCTCCCCTAAGAAGGTATTGTCCTGGGGGAGGAAGGAAGTAGGTGAGGGAGATTAAGAAGCACAAACTTCCAGTTACAAAATAAATGCGTCTTGGGTATGAAAGGTACAGTGTGGGGAATATGGTCAGTAACTAAGTAATAGCTTTGTATGTTGACATAGCGTACCTAGACTTATCATGGGATCATTTTGAAATGTATAGAAATATAGAATCACTCTGTTGTGTAACAGAAATTAACATAGTATTGTAGGTCAGTTATACTTCAAAAAGAAACAACCAAAGTCATGGAAAAAGAGATGGGAATTGTGGTAGCCAGAGGTGGGGTGTGGGGGGCAGGGAAAATTGGAGGAAGGTGGTCAAAAGGCACAAACTTTCAGAATTAAGATAAATAAGCAATAGGGATGTGATGTATTGAAGACAACATGATAAATGTAATTAACACCGCTGTACGTTATCTATGATAGTTATCAAGAGAGTAAATCCTAAGAGTTCCCATCACAAGGAAGAAAAAAATTTTTTTTCTATTTCTTTAATTTTGTATTGAATGTTCACTAAATTTACTCTGGTAATCATTTCATGATGTATGTAAGTCAAATCATTATGCTGTACACCTTAAACTCATACAGTGCCATATGTCAATTATATCTCAAAACTGGGGAAAAATATGTTTAAAAAAAAAGAAGGTAGGGCTTTCCTGGTGGTGCAGTGATTGAAAGTCCGCCTGCCGATGCAGGGGACACGGGTTCGTGCCCTGGTCCGGGAAGATCCCACATGCCGCGGAGCGGCTGGGCCCGTGGGCCATGGCCGCTGAGCCTGTGTGTCCGGAGCCTGTGCTCCGCAGCAGGAGAGGCCACAACAGTGAGAGGCCCACGTACAGCAAAAAATAATAATAATAATAAAATAAAAGAAGGTATTATCCTACTTTAAACTCATTGATAAATGGAAGTCATTCTTAAAGCATCCATCAAGTACTAAAGTTGCTGTAATATCCTCAGGTCATAATAAATAAGTGTGGGCTGGCTGTCACTGTATATATTTCCACAGACATTTGCTTTTTTTTTGGGGGGGGGCATGCCGCGCGGCTTGCGGGATCTTAGTCCCCCAACCAGGGATTGAACCCAGGCCCTCAGTAGTGGAAGCACAGAGTCCCAACCACTGGACCACCAGGGAAGTCCCCAGTCATTTGCTTTTCTGTGTCTGTGTATGTATCATTAAGTACTTGAAATCATAAATGACCCATCTGAGAAAAATACTTGACTTGGCTCCTGTTTTTAGTTGACCGTAAAGTTTCTCAACTTCGACTTTTTCAGATATCAGTGTTGAATAGAGTATCACAAGAGTTATTGTCCAAACAGGGACATTTCTTAGAGTAATAAGGGACACTGCTTATAATTAGATCAGGCAAGCATAAAAGTGGACTGTCCCAGGCAGACCAGGAGATGTGCTCACCTTGGTTTAAAGCCACAGGTTAAAACGTTTCTGTTTATTCAAGTATATAAAACATTTTGGCTTTATACTTTACATGCATGTGATTGAGGGCAACTTATGAACAAATATTGCTGATAAGGAATTTTTTTCCATGTGGGCTTATCTTCAGCTTTAATGTAGTTAAATCCTTCAGTAGAAGTGAAACAAATGTTAAACTTCCCTGGAGATGCAGTGCATCCTTAATTATAATGTTGTAGCTAGCATAAAAGATTGCTTATTTGACATAAAAGAAACTAACCAATATTTTGAAGAGATTAACAAGGCATAGATTTTTAGAGTAGGCTATTTCTCTGATTTATATTTTCCACCTTGTCAGTTTTCTCCATCTTATTGAGTTTTTTCTCTTTTTTTGGTATGATCGACAATAGAACATTATATCAGTTTCAGGTGTGCAGCATAGTGATACCTAGTATTCGTATATACTGCTTTATATATTGCTTTCCTTATTAAGTTCTACAAACTTGGGCTTCCCTGGTGGCACAGTGGTTAAGAATCTGCCTGCCAATGCAGGGGACATGGGTTTGAGCCCTGGTCTGGGAAGATCCCACATACCATGGAGCAACTAAGCCCGTGTGCCACAACTACTGAAGTCCGCACGCCTAGACCCCGTGCTCTGCAACAAGAGAAGCCACCGCAATGAGAAGCCCGGGCACCGCAATGAAGAGTAGCCCCCGCTCGCCGCAACTAGAGAAAGCCTGCGCGCAGCAATGAAGACCCAATGCAACCAAAAATAATAATAATAATTAATTTTAAAAAATCATATTAAAAAATGACCATTTAAATAAAAAAAAAAAGTTCTGCAAACTTTAAGGTGTTCCAGATCATTTGACTTTTTCTCTGCTGTGTTCCAAGGAAATCTAAACTCTATAACAAAAATAGTTAAATATTTACCTTCACATTAGTGTCTATTTTTAAACATCTCCAGTGAGGAGGAATTCGATAATATGCCAGGTTGACTTTTCTCAAATATTCTCTTTAGCTCCCAGCTCCTCCTCTCAGATAGTTACCATATCTCATTGAGTCAAAGATGTATGTACATTTTCACCTTTTAACATCTCTGTACCCAAGATGCTTCTTTGAATTGGTGGATCTTAAACTTGGTGAAATGTGGTAATTGAATCACCCAAGAAGTGAATATATGAAAAAATTAGCATGGATCTTTTTATTCTGACTTTGGGATGTTTAAACTTAATTTTGTATCATCTTTCAGCTTTTCATTGGGTTTCCTTTGACAAATTCTGATAGTTAGGGCTCAGGTTTTTTAGTTTTAAAGAGTGTATGATGCTTTTGCTTAGTCACCTGATCCTAATTGTCATAGGTTTATTGTTTGTCTGACAGTTCATTTCACACAGTCCCATGATTCTGCTTACACAGTCTTATTTGCTCACTTCACTTAAAGATGTTCATCACAAAGGAACCAATGAAGAGTCCGTAAAAAAAAAAAAAAAAAAAAAAGAGTCCGTACAAGCCTGGCTCCAGTTCACTAAACCAAAGCATTTGTTACATCAAGGAGGCCCCACATGTGGTGTTTTAATTTTAGGGTGATATTTAGGCAACTATATGGGCCTAAACAAAGTAATATTGAGTAATAGGTGTATCTATAATGTGGTCATAAAGAAAAAGCTCTAAGCTAGGTATGCAAGATACTCCGAGTTTTTAGTTTTGCTAATATTTATAGAAGATTGTTTATTGAGCTGGTTGGGAAAAAAAGACTTATAAAACTCAACAAATGTAATGGTATTTTGATGGCATAGAAGAGAATAGTAGTCATAAAGATCATGGTAGTTTGTGATCCTGGAACAGCAGCGTTTTGAGAATTGTTTTTGCTGTGGGATATCTCTCTAGATCATGCTGCTGACTGAGTGGCGTTTTCCAAAAATGACCCTGTAGAATGTTGGTTTTGGATGGAGTTTTAATAAAATGTCAGCTGGCCAGGTTTACACAGATAAGTTTTCACATTTTGTTTTCAAATGAGTAAGGTTGTATGCTTTGGCAGAAATTATAGGCCCCCTGGTAGCCTTTGGGGATGACTCTGTAGATGGAAAACCTAATCATAAACCAATATCATAAACTACCCCAAATTCTGCAAATTTATTTTGAACTTACTTCCTAAAACCACATTTTTATTTAGTCTATGGCGCTAGTAATTTGAATTTTTTGGTTCACAGCTTATAGATTTTAAGTAGAGATATTTTTGAAAGGTTCATTTAATACTGAATTGATACAGACCTTAAAAGGATTCCTTTCAGGACGTTGTTTGTTTCTACACGAATTTTAAGTGATCTGAAATATATTAAAAGTTATGAAAATAGAATTAGTGATTTTTAAAAAACAATTAAATACATTACATTTGCTCTTTCTTTAGTGCCAAAATAGTGGTTCATCTTCACCCAGCTCCTTCTAACAAAGAACCTGGCCCATTCCAGAGTAGTAAGAACTCCTACATCAAGCTGTCCTTCAAAGAACACGGCCAGATTGAGGTAAGTTTCTTTATGAATACAATCAGACTAGAAATGTGTACTTGTATTTTTGTTGTTGTTTGTTAATAGGATGGCAGGCAATATTGTTCAGCATACCTGTTTTCACAATAAAATTTTACAATAAAATTTTTATGATATCTTAAGTCTTATCAGTGGAGAATACGAAGTTTAGGTTTCAGTGGGAATGGGAGGCAGGAGGATGTAGTCACAGGCAAGAGTGGAGGCTGGAAACAGGCTAAGTCACCACGCTAGGTAGGCTACTAGTTAAGTGTTCAGTGTTATTGTTTGGATAAAAGGACAGAGTATAATGCAGTGACATGTTTAACTGCCTCAGCATCTGAAAGTTCACCAGCCTTACATCAGGCAGTCTATCTTTATTAACTCCATACAAATCTAATCGCTTAAGTTCTTATTCCATAGTATCATGGTTCATATGTTCTGATTAATAAGTTGCTATGTAAGTATTCTTTAGACATTTATAAGTGTGTGTTTATCTCCCCATCGAGATCATAAATGATTTATGTTCTTTTTCTCTATAGCACCTGACTCAGTGTTCCTTGCACAGCAGGCACTGAGCAAATTTAAGTGACTAACTGAAGTCATTCTCACTGTAGCTGAAAAATATAGCTGATTTTTTTTTTTTTATGAGCGTAGGCATGTTTTGGCCCTAATATCTGGCCTCACATTTTAACTAGACAAATTATTCTCAGCTTCCTTCATGGATAACGGTTGTGTATTTTTCTTGGCACTGTGTCTGTTTCGCTACAGATTGAAAACAATCCACACATGCAGGATTGTTTAAAGTAAGTCTATTTACTTCATTGTCACTCATCTCTTTGTTGAGAATAGTTCACTTCATGTAGAAGGTCAGTTCCTTCTTTTTTTTTCCCCCTTTGTGCTTTCTGAAGTTGACCCAAGGAAAGAACTTCCTTTGATTTCCTTTGATGTCTCTGAGAATTCTAGGCTTGTTGCAAATGACCAAACAGACTTCCAACTAAAGAAATGTTAAGTAATGATTTGTACAAGGATGTCACAGCCTGACTGACTCACTTAAAGTGTATGCATGTGCATAACAGTTTTACAGGCGTTTATCAGAGGAAATGACACAGAGAAGATGGGAGAATATGCCAGTTTCCCAGTCGTTGCAAGCAAATAGAGGACCCCAGGTATTTTTTCAGCTGTTTCCTAATCCAGTATTTTCAGCTCTGTACTTGCATCTTCGTTAAGGGAAAAGAGTCCTATGATTATAGAACTTGCCAGAAACAAAATAATGATTTTCTAATTCAAAGCTGATTTTCACAGAACTTAATTTAGAGCTCTATAGATGGTAGACACTTAGTAATAATACATGACTACTTACCAGGGTAATTTCAGGGTGGCCGAAGTCAGATTCCCCTTCTGCATTCTGTTCTTTATAATTAGTGTGGCATCTGAGAGAACAGACAGTACCACTGGGTGACATTTTCCAAGCCAGTCTAATTAACCACCAACGTGGACAGACACTCAAATGTATAAAAGTAGCTTGTATAATAACTGTCAAGTACCAGAATTTTACCTATAATTTTTTGCACATTTGAGACCATATTAAGTATCTGATACCTATATAATAGCTTGCCAAAGAACAAAAATGAAGAGGAAATTTAATTTATATCTAAAATACAGAGTAAAATGTACCATCTCTTGTTATGTTCAGTTTTTCTGTATAATGATTTGAAGGTCATTATGTATGGCAATAAACCGACAAATATTTTGAAAGGAAACTGAATGTAACTGTGTGCTGTTTTCTTGGGTTCTTTGTGGGTTCTCTCCCACCACTGAAAACACAATATAGTGGGTTACAAAAGATTGTGTCCTTCCTATTTTCTACTTTTGTTTTTCAGCCAGGAAGAATAAGGGCTGTAGGAATTGTAGGTATTGAAAGGAAACTGGAAGAAAAAAGAAAAGAAACTGACAAAAACATTTCTGAGGTAATTCTTACGCAAGTTCCGGTCAGCTGTCTTTTCCAGCCATCTTTCTTATTCTTTTGGATACAGCTGTGAGTAACTCCGTTCTGTGTATTGGAATATATTTAGTTTGCCTGGAGCCACACAGTCTCTTTTTCCATTTAAGGAGTCTACTTCAGGTTGGCATAATTTAGCCCAAATGTGTTTTAAAAATCTTTTCCAGAAAGGAATTAAAAAGAAATGCAAATTTGTTTTCTGTGAGGTTAGAAAACGTCATGAATTATTGTGTGTAAATTTTAAAGTCTAGATGGGATTGATTGGAGGGTCCTCCTAATGAATTCAAGGTCCTATGTATAATTATTTTGGATGTTTGGTTAACTTAGTTGAGGGGAAAATGCTGTTCTGCGGCCCTTGACTCTGGCCGGACACTACACAGTTTTATGCTGATGACCACTTGGGGACCAGGCACAGGGGTAGTAAGAATGGCTCAAACCAGCTTATCACTTCTCCTAGGAGAGCATCCCTGAGCTTGTACTTTACAGTGTTTCTGAAACCTCATCCTATATGAGGAGATTCAAATGAAGGGGAAAGAACTCTAGTTAAGGGGCTTCCCTGGTGGCACAGTGGTTGAGAATCTGCCTGCCAATGCAGGGAACACGGGTTTGAGCCCTAGTCAGGGAAGATCCCACATGCCGTGGAGCAACTGGGCCCGTGAGCCACAACTGCTGAGCCTGCGCATCTGGAGCCTGTGCTCCACAACAAGAGAGGCCGCGACAGTGAGATGCCCGCGCACCGCGATGAAGAGTGGCCCCCGCTCGCCGCAACTAGAGAAAGCCCTCGCACAGAAACGAAGACCCAACACAGCCAAATAAATAAATAAAATTAAAAAAAAAAATAGAACTCTAGTTAAGAAAATGAGTTATACTTTAGATTTTGGCAGTTAATACATCTAAACATATCAGTTTTCCCGTGTTTATATGGAAATGGTCTTGGATTTTTATGAAATGATTTTATGAAGTAATTTTTTAGTTCTTACAATAGTTTGTAAGTAAAATTCCATTGATTAGTGCTGCTCATAGAATGTCCAAGATTTATCTCAATCAAATAAAGTCTAAACTGCAAATAGTTACTGAATACCTGTATTAGTCAAGGTTCTCCAGAGAAACAGAACAAATAGGGGATATATTCTTCTGGATACAGCTGTGGATATCTTTTGGATATCTATATGTGGTTATCGATACATAGATATAGATATGCTGATATCTTTATCTCTCTATATATAGGTATATTGTCCTATATATACACAATGAGATTTATTATAAAGAAGTGCCTCATGTGATTGTGGGAAGCTGCCAGTTGGTGACCCAGGAAAGCTGGTGATAGAATTGCTAACCGGAGTGTGAAGGCCTAAGAACCAGGAGCCCTGGTGGTGTTAAGTCCCAGTCCAAGGGCAGGGTAAGACTGATGTCTTAGCTCGTCAGTCAGGCAGAGAACTTTCTGTTCCATTAGGCTCTCCAGAGGGCAATTCAGGAGGGCGATCTGAATGTAACTGTTCAGCTCATCCTGCAGATTCGGATGCTAACCTCATGTGGAAACAGCCTCACACACCCACTCAGAATAACGCTTGAGCAGACACCTGGGCACCCCCCAATCTAGTCAAGTTGACACGTAAAATTAACCATCATAATAGCCATATCTGGGCCCACTAACTGAATATGGATTCTTGTTGAAGGACCAAGGGCATTTGACCTATTAAGTGCTGTGGTCTAGGTTTTGCTGAGGGCATGTTTATGGTAAAGTTGTGTGTGTTCCTTGGTCCTTTGTATTTCCTGCACATTAGCAGCTGGATCCAGAGGCTTGTTCAGACTTGTGTTTGAGCCCTTTGTTGAGACTAGAGGTGACACTGTGTTCATCACGTCTCTTTTTATCATGTTAGCGGCTGTCAGTGTTCAGTGCATAGATCTTTGGGTCACTGTTGGTTGCAAATGGTGGTACTCTGTGATTTATTTTTCATTTATTTGTTGGGACACTTTGTAAAGAGATGCTTCCCTTCATTATTGTTTGGCTACTCAGTGATATGGCTCCTATAAGGAATGCAGAACGTGTGCCGTTTCCTTTATTATCAGGATGATAAATTGGTTCCTTATCATCCTCCCGAGGTGACTAATTAGGTTTTTTCACGTATTATTATGAATTCATACAGTTAAACATATTTGATGATTTCAGTCAGTTGCAATTATTATCCTAGTTAAAGCTCAAATTGTCCCATCTTTGGCCAGTGGGAGCCTCTTCAGTTTGGCTCCTGAGTGGTTTTGATGTGACCTGGTGGACTTTGAGAGCTTCCTTACTGCCTGGTGTTGACAGAAGTTCCAGGACCATCTTGTATATTTCCTGCTCCGGATCTGGAATCAACCATTATCTGAGAAGCTCTGGTTTCTTTTAGTGGGAAATGGTATTCCATAACCACAATCTGCCTGCTAGGAATTTGCATCCCTCTCGGGTTGATCTTTATTTCTAGGACTTTTCAGTGGAAAGAGCTAGGATTTTTTTTTTTTTTCTTCTAATAAAGGTGCCTCATGAGGTCACACTGATGCTTCCTATTCAAATTCGGGACTACACTAGCGAATAATGACTAAAACAATTAAAAAGGATTTTTTGTGTATGTTCTCCCTTTTCTTCCCACGTGTAAAACATAGGTGTGCTGTATCTACACTATCTGAGCGTTCAGCCACCATGTACCCTCTTCCCCTCTAGCTGTCATTTAGTCTCATTTGTACAAGTAACTGTGTGATACCACCAGTCTTTACATTCACCTCCCTCCATTCATTTTGGCTGTCTGGAGCTCATCCTCTAGTAGATGTTTCAGAAAGTGCTCATGGGAACAATATTCCCTGAGTTCTGGCATCTTGGTATTTGGATTGTTATTCTCAGGTATGCAGTATGCTTTCAGTATTTGGTTTCAGATATGTTTTCTTTTAATTTCAGAGAAGTTTTTCTCTAAATTTCAATAATTGCTTAGATTTTTTTTTTTTCTTCTGAGACTCCTATTAGCTGTATGTTGCAGCTCTACGGCCTATCTCCACTCTGTGACTTTCTTTCAAATCCTTTTTATCTTTTCCTTCGTTTCTTTTTTATTTTAGAAAAATTTCCTTCTTCACCTGTTGTTTCTCTTAAGATATTATCTATTGTGTTTATTCCTCTTGTGTTTGTCTAGTATAGTCTTTCTTTCAGAAATGATTAAAAAATTTCTTTTTTTTTTTTGCGGTACGCGGGCTTCTCACTGCTGTGGCCTCTCCCATTGCGGAGCACAGGCTCTGGACGCGCAGGCTTAGCGGCCATGGCTCACGGGCCCAGCCGCTCCGCGGCATGTGGGATCTTCCCAGACCGGGGCACAAACCCGTGTCCCCTGCATCGGCAGGCGGACTCTCAACCACTGCGCCACCAGGGAAGCCCTAAAAAAATTCTTTGCTGAGTCCTGTCACCTCATTTCTGATTTATATTGCCCTTTCACAGCTTCTCTCATTTTATTAACACCTATTAGCTCATTTTGAAATAAAAGGTAAACTTTTGATGTGATCTATGAGTATGTCCTTCTGGCGTGCTTTCATTATCTATAATGTTATTCTGCTGTTGATTTTCTTTTTTCTTGTAATAACTCTGTGTGGGATTTGACCTTGATACTTGCTCTTGCTAATTTTCGTGTGAAATTGGTTTTCTTGAACTTCCAGAGGAAGGCCTAGTTCAGGGAGGCTCTTCTCATTCCACAAGCTCACTCTTCTGCTGTGTGCATGCAGCGTGAAAAAAGGGAGGTGGCTTGCTGTCTGTGATTTCCTGACCCCGCCCCCATCCCCTGTTCTCAACTGGACCTTGTCCCCTTCCTCTGTTATCTCTACCTTGCTCAGTTGCTGATTCCTGTCTCAGTAGTTTCTCCCCAGCGTTGGCTCCTGTCCTGGAAGGGAAGCCAGGAGGTTCACTTTCAAGGGCTGTTTACAGGCCCTTCCTGAGGACCCCTTGTACCCACTTCCTATTGAAGTGGGCAAAGCCCTACCCGTTTTAGTTACTGTCCTCAAGTTGGCCCGTCTGCTTTCAAGGGACTCCTGTGGGCTCTTTCAGGGGCTCTTCTTCTCAGACCTATCAGTTGCCCTGTTGCCTCCCTTTTCTTTTTCCTGCCTCAGTGCTGATATCATGCAGGTCTTGTGGCCCTTGCTGGTTTGTCCCCACTTGCTTGTACCTTGGGGGTTTTGTGGATATCTTGTCACTTAGTTTTTTAGTATATGCTGCCTGTGGGGTTTTGGTCTTGAGATCTAGTTGCCCCATTTTTATGTCGGGATTTGGAGAGATTCAAAACCTATGCTGCCATAGCCACCACCTTCCCAGAATCCTCTATTCCCATAGAATTCCAGCATCTTAGCATTAGAGGGGTTCTAACTATCCAGAAAAGGAATCATCTCAGGGCTAGTGACTAGATATGGAGCCAGGGTTATGAGAACTCAGGTTTACTGATTTGCAGATAAGTGTGGTCTGCTACATCATGGCCGCTCACTGCCACCCAGAAGGCGCTGTCCTCTTTCAGTGACTTTCGTAGTCATCCTTCTGTGTGACACTTTTGGAGATGGCATGGAGCAGTGAGCTAATTTTGCATTATTAGTGTTTCTTTTTCTGAATGTTGCCATACTAACTTGGTGTTCAAAATAACGTTTTTCATAATTTATGAAATGTTATTCTGTTTCAGTGTAATTTTCACGGAGTTGTGTAGGTCAAAGGAGTGTACACAAGCATTGGGCTCTCGTGCAGGTCATTGATTTATTCAGCAGATGGTCCTTGCTCTCTGTGTGAGCCCTGCATCAGATGTTTTGGATTTGTTGTAGTGCGCCAGACAGACAGGCAAGTAGGCGCTCGCTACAAGGTGAGAAATGCCATGTTAGGAGAAAATAGTGGCTGCAACAGGAACACAAAGCATGGCCCCTGACTTCTAATGGGGTCAGGGAGGGCTTGTGAGCAGAAGTAATGGAAGTCAGGGCCTGAAAGTTGAGCAGGCACTAGCAGATGACCAGTAGGGATAAGAGGATCCAGGTAGAGGGAACGGAATATGCAAAGTACAGAATGAAGAATATTGAAACAGAAAATTCAAGAATGTATTAACAGTTACCGAAGCTAATCACCAAAGTAATGACTGAAAGTCAGTAAGAAAAAAATGCTATAAATTGGCTTAGGAGAGTATCCCATGGTTTTAAAGCAGATGCCGTTTTCTTTCAACCATGGAGTGGAAATTTAACTATGAATGAGGTAGAGGGATAGAAGGTTCTATAAACTGGCAGATAAAATAATAGGATGGGCACATGTGTCTGTTTTGCATTTGTACATATATTGCTTTAATTTTTTTTGTGGGTAGTTTTTTTTTTTTTTTTTTCGGTACGCAGGTCTCTCACTGTTGTGGCCTCTCCCGCTGCGGAGCACAGGCTCCGGACGCGCAGGCTCAGTGGCCATGGCTCACAGG